TGATATATGATAATAGCATCACTGGCCACTTAGTGGGTTCCACCATATATATATATATATACACAGTGATATATGATAATAGCATCACTGGCCACTTAGTGGGTTCCACCATCTCTAATATATATACACAGTGATATATGATAATAGCATCACTGGCCACTTAGTGGGTTCCACCATCTCTAATATATATATACACAGTGATATATGATAATAGCATCACTGGCCACTTAGTGGGTTCCACCATCTGTAATATATACACAGTGATATATGATAATAGCATCACTGGCCACTTAGTGGGTTACATCATCTATAACATATACAGTGATATATGATAATAGCATCACTGGCCACTTAGTGGGTTACATCATCTAAAACATATACACAGTGATATATGATAATAGCATCACTGGCCACTTAGTGGGTTACATCATCTATAACACATACAGTGATATATGATAATAGCATCACTGGTGAAGCAATTGAAGATTTTGAGGAATTTGTGCAAATACTTCGTGGTAATTTCCAAGTTTAAAGACATTTTTCTTGAGAGAGCAAAAACAAAATAAAATAAAGTAAAATGTAATACATGTGTAAATAAAAAATAGCATTGAGAAACAAAGTTGATAAATAGATGAAGTATAAGTAGCCTAGATCGCCAACTAGATGTTTTTAAAAATTCAAGTTAAAAATATGCTAGGACAAGAAAGCTAGAGAGTAGTGATATTGAGAATCATAAGTTACAAAGGAGTTATAAAAAATAAAGCCATTGTCTAGCAACAAAGTAGATGCACTAACACCAGTGATTGACAGTGATTAATTACTGACACCAACTCGTTAGTACTGTGGAGGCTACGAAAAAATTAATGTTAACATGCAAAAGCATTATTTGATGATATATTCCTTACACAATGCTAGTGTACTAGCATAAGTAAGAAGGCAACTGGCTAAATCACCATAACAGTAACCAATCACTTTAGAGTTTTGGTTATGGTTTTGGACTGGCCCAGGAAGTTGCACAGATCAACCAATAAGGTGTGAGAACTACTTGCAGGTAGTGCTGCATACTATTTGGGAATTCGTAGAAACATGAAGGAAAAAAAACTCATGTTTGAGGTAGAAAATCAGGTCTCCTAAGCCTCTCCTCACGAGTTCTATCAAGTACTCGGGAATCCCCAGCAGTTTATCCAAGAAAATGTTGAGAGTATCCAATCTGCAAAGTACACCTTGCCAACTAAGTAGTAAGTAGAATATTCTCACTCTTAAACTTCAATCAACATAGTTATAGTATGAAAGATTTATAATGTGTTAACTGAATCTTAGTAGAAAATTACACAAGATAAATAGAAGATTTTTGTTAATAATTGAAAAGTTATCTATATGCTTAATATTGTGATTGTGCATTGTGACATGTAGATAATTATAGGCTATTATATTACTAACTGAAAGACTTAGTCTCTTTATTCTAACTGTAAATTACCTCAAGTTATTGACTTATGATGTTCCACTTGCCACCACAATTCTAAACTAAATAAATTTGGTGTAATTGGCAGTATAATTGAAACTCCAACAATTAGCTTAGGGGCGCTGCCCATTACACTGGCCACTTAATGGGTTCTGTCATCTATAATATATATACACAGTGATATATAGAAAATAGCATCACTGGCTACTTAGTGGGTCCCATCATCTCAAATATATACACAATGATATATAATAATAGCAATGATAAAGCTGTAAAAAGAAAACAATAACAAAATAATTAATACTCATCTCACTAGTCTTTCTGGGAAGACTAGAAAATTTTGACTGGAGGAAAGGGAAACTACCATGTGATGTAGGTAATAGATACAAACATGTGAGGCATCATCCAAATCTCCACCTGCAAGATTTCATTCAATTGGCACTGAGAGACAATAGAAGATGCAAGATGAAAAACCTAATAGGAAGTTACCTGATAAAATTGACAGGCATCCTTTCCCACATAAAAATAAACAAATCACATGAGCTGATAAACCAAACTATTCAAAGTGGAAGATGAATTCTACGAAAAAGAAGGATCTCACAACAAAAACAGCACGGAAGAGGCCCTTAACAACCAGAGAGAAAGGAAAGAACACTGGCCAGGGAGTAGATAGAAAGTTGTAGACAAAGCTTCCCTGTAATCAGCATTCACAGAAATGGATAAACTGCTTTCAAAAACCCAGGTAAAAAAGGAAATGAGATGAAGAAGAGTAGGAAAACCTGAACGAGGGAGTAGCATATGGACTGGCAGCAGTAAAACATCCATCTATGTTGATAAAGTGTAAGAGTGAATGGCTCGCAAGAACAAGTAGAAAAATTGGTTATTATAGAAGAAAAGCCTGCCAGTCTTGCAATGGATCAGACAAATCCCATACATGAAGATGAAGGCATAACACCTCATGGTGAAAGATGGACATCCAGGGCTGACAAGAAATTTCCAAGGTGGAAGAGGCTCCCTGGATGTCAAGAGGCACAGGAGTGGAAACCAGGACTGAGCAAACCAAGGAAAATCACTGAGAAGTCAGCAAGGGGTGTCAAAAATAAAAGACAGATCCATTGCAAGAAATTGAAAAGCATAGGCATAAATAAATGGGTTGCACCAATACTGACTGAAAGCATCTACTGCCAGAACTGCAGAGTCTGGGATTATTGACCACAAAAGAGGAAGTTTTTGATAAGAGGAGTTGCAAAGTCATCAATGAGAGGTTTTCCAAAGTGGGAACAAATTCACTGAAACACCACAGAATGGAGAGACCACTGTGTGGAAAGGTTCAGGTTTAAACAAATCAGTCAATCCACCACCAGATTCAAAGCTTCGATGACACAACAGGCCAACTACCAAATGTGGTGGTTGTAGGCCCCAAAATAGAAAATCCAAGACTAGAAAGCAAAGGTCCTAAGATGGAATGCCTCCCTACTGGTTGATGCAAGACACAACAGTGGAGTTGTCATCCAAATAGATCATCACAAGATGACCATACAGATGAGAAAGAAGATGACTGTAAGCTCTGTAAGTAGCCAATAGTTCTAGGACATTGATATGAAAGGTCTGCTTCTCTAAAGATTATACCCCAAAAGGGAGGTAAGTGTACAAAACTGCCCCCTACCTGGAAAAAGAGGCATTGGTGAACGGATGTAGGTCCATGCGAGGAGAGGGGGAAGAGAGGTTGGCAGTGTCATGTGGGATAAATAGAGCTACCAGAACAGCAAGAGATCTATAGATGGAGGGAAGAGATAGCAGCAAATCTCTGGACATGTGCTATTGATTGGCCAGGTTCCCCTCAATGGATGCATATGGGCACATCCAAGAGGAACAAGTGAGTCTCCAAAAATGATAAAACCTATTAGTGCAGAAAGAGTAGAAAACATGAGAACTTTAGTAACCAGAAGCTCCAGGTTGCTAAAACATAAAGGAGATGTCTGAGCCTGCACTGCAAGAATTGAAAACAACTCCCAGGTAAACTAGATACTGGGTATGGGTCAAGGATGATTAGGAGAACTTGACCAGCCAACCCAAACAAAACATCTCCCAAAGAAGATCACCATTATGAAAATTTCCTGAGATGTGGCAAGAAACAGCCAGTTGTCTAGATACTAGTGGAAATGGAGATCTAAAGAATGCAAACACCATGTGAATGCTCTCATTACCTGATTGTAAATGTGCAGGGTCATAACTAACTCAAAGGGAAGGGCTTGGAACTAATCACACAAACCCGATTGGCAAATCAGAAACACTAACTTTGGTCATTCACATCCTGGGAGAGAATACCCACCTAAGATTGAGAAAACCATCTATCATGAACCACTAAACAACAAAAAAATTGATTCAAGAATGAGAGATCTATGACATGGTGTTAATCTCCCATTATTTGGAATGGCAAAAATGATAGAAGTAAAATCTAATGACACAAGTCCAATTTGACAGAAGTCCATTTATGACAAATCTTTGCTTTCTTCTATCCAGCTAGTTTTCTATGCAATGACCCAACCTATCTCCCATACCTACACAAATAATTTTTTTTAATAAGCCTTTTATGTAGCACCTTAGCAAATGCTTTCTGAAAATCCAGCTAAACTAAATCCACATTCATACCCTCATCTACATAAGTAGTAACTTCTTCAAAGAATATCAAAAGATTAGTAAGACAAGATTTTCCCCTAGTGAAACCATGCAGATTATCCAACAATAATTTAATCTTTATGACTTTGCAAAGCATCTTTTATCAGACTTTCATAAGCTTTTCACACCACTGATAAAAGACTAATTGGCCTATAATTACCTGGACAATGTTTATCACCTCCCTTGAAAAAGGGAGTGACCTTAGCCAACTTCCAATCATCTGGCACCTATCCACTATTCAAGGATTTAGAAAGATCAGAGTACATCTGGTTTCCATTGAAACTCCAGGAGTGTGTTCCTGAAGTGCAGTAACAGGACCTTTGAAGGTAGCAGAAATGTGGATCTTGGAATTCAACTTTATTTCTTCTTTTGGTTGTGTAAAGTAGTGGTAAGCTCAGTTGATAGTAAATATACTCTAGAACAAACAATAAGAGTGAAACAATAAGGATTAATTGACAGTTAAAGAACAAAAACAATGCATGTATCATACAATTCCAAAAAACACAAACTAATTTGAACACACCTGAAGACAAGCAATGCTGAGGAAAGAATGAGACTTTATTCAAATGCTAATACTCATGGAGATCATTGCACATGGAGGATGTGTCACCCTCCTAATGGTGGAGGGCTAGTCTAATGATGATTATATCATAGATTGATGAAATTCATGTAGAGCTGAGATCTTCCTTCCAGGCCTGTGGCATATGCACAAATTTTCAGGGCAGGCAATGGCTTTTTCTTGTGCAGAGGGGAGTAAATGTTTCTGAAGTGAAGTCCACAACTTCTAGCTAAAGTGAATTTGACACAATCTGTTCAACTTGAGTACAGCTACCATTGGAAATAGATAATGTACTCCTCCAAGCTGATAAACTAAGAAACTGGTTGAGGTCCAGACAGTTTCTGGCACACCTCAGTTTTCAGTCAGACTCATGTTTTGTTGATATACTCTAGAGTAAGTTTGTTAGTTTCCTCTTAAACTAAGGAAACAGACATAGATATCTAACTCTAAAGCTAAATGTAATTTTTTGGCCTTCCCTTGAATCAATCATCAAAGCTTGTTCTATGTTAAGTGTTTTGGTCACAAGTCTCATAAAGTAATTTTGTAACAAATATTTAAAGAAGCAATTTCTATGCTAATTATAAAATAGAACCTTATTAAACAAATTTTGAATTAAAATAATAACATAAAACATAAATAAAGGAAAATATTTTATAAATATCAACTAGACAAACATCTGAATTATACAACACAATACATATTATACAAGTTTAGATGTTTATTTTTAATATATACATATACTTTTTTTAAACAGGTGTTGTACTCAGAAACTGGATCCTCTCCTATATATGAAGCTTATTTGTCTTATGTTCAGAGAAAATATTGCATAACACAATTTGTTTGAAAGTGATTTTCATTTTATAAGTACCCTAAAAGAAGTTAAATGTATATACATATAAAAATCACAAATAAGCTCCATCCTTGGATGCAAATAATAAAACAATCAAATATTAAACTTTTCTGTTTTTTCTCTCCTTTATTTATTTCTTTGACTAGTTTTATGACTTCAAAGGTCACTCTTCAGAATGTAGTTTTACAGAGAATCTATATAATAATAAAAAATCAAATACTACTTTTCAACCAAACATAACCTAAATTAAATATGTTTTCCAAATGTACAAACATACAATACACTCCTTATATAAATTATGTATATTAAAATATGCTCAAAATAAATGAAATTAAAGCTTATCCACTATACTTTCCTTTCTTTATATTCATTTTTTTAACTATACTTTCTCTTGTTATTATAGAAATGATTTTTTTCCATAATCTTTCATAATTTAATACCTCTTGCTTTATTGTCCTTTTTATGATCTTAGTAATAGTTTTCACAGTTTCACAATTCCAACTGACTATAACACAGCTTTTTCTGCACTCTTCCTCTATCTATTTAAAGTGGCACAAAAATATTTACAAAATATTTTTTAAGAATAATCTTTTATACTTTACATTACATACCCAAAAAAGGAAAAACATGAAACTATGGTTCTTTCATAATTTTAAATTTTCTCAATATACATTCATTGAAATTGGTAGTTTCATTTTGAGTTTACTTACTTATTAATTATATTACAAGTTACAGCTTTTACAGTAAGTAAGATTTGTTTTTAGAACAGGTGCAATCATTCTCAAGTACACAAGTCTTAACGGTAAAGAACATTTTAGCATTTAAATCAACATTTAACAATCTAAGAAGGTATTTAAATTCTAGAATTGATTGTGGTTAGTAGTGCTTATTTATATAAATTTTTGTGCTACTTTAGATAGAGGTAAGAGTGCAGAAATAGTTCTGTACAGTCTGTTGGAATTGTGAAACTGTGAAAATTATTATTGAAAATCATAAAAAGAGACAATAAAGTAAGTAAGAGGTATTAAATTATGAAGGATTATGGAATAAATTACATTTCTATAATAACAAGAGAAATTATAGTTAGAATAAGATTTTAATCAAAAAGAATATACCTAAGTATAGTGGATAAGCTTTAACTAATTTCAATTACTTTTGAATTTTTTAATTACTGAAATCATACAAGGAGAGTATTATATGTTTGTACATTTGAAAAACATATGTATTTAATTTAGTTTTTTTTTTATCTAGGTCTTTTCACACATTGAATACTTGCATACATTTCAGATAGACATTCGCCTCTCTGCATCACAAAGAGCTATTACCTCATGTGCACTCCCATGTAAATTCCTGCACATCACATAAGCTTTAAACAAAGCTCCAACTCTACATATGTCAATGTGTATTGAACCAGCAAATGATGTAATTATCTAGCCCTCCACAAGCAGGAGGACAAAATCCTTCATAAGCAGTAATACCCTTGAACACTAATATTTGAACAAAGGTTCATTCTTGACAAGGCAAAATAAATGCACCAGAAGTGGGAAAAAAAGGGTGGGAGGTGATACACAGAGGTGAGTATCTATCTGAAATATATTTTCAGGTTTAAAAAAATGTTAACTTAAGAAATACTATTCACCTATTTTCACACAAAGAGCTAGAATCCCACACTGAAGATGATGGAGAGGCAGTGCAGAGAAAGAAAGTACAAAGAAGAGCTCATTTCTAAAAACAGCATCAAGAAGGAAAAGCCCATGGAATGTGACACCCATGAGACAGGGTGTAGCCTAATGGGACATCACTCTGTGGAGACTGCATCACTCTCATGATGGGAGTACTCTTCACCCAATGTTATTGTGATATTCATTATTACTAGAGAAGGTAGAGCAAAAGAAAGTGCCACAAGAAACTTCTGCATGATGCTAAAGTGTCACTAAGGTTGGTGGAATGAAAGATTGCTCAAATGACCACTATCTCATGTAGCCAGTTGAGCATAGGTGTAGTGTGGCTAAGGATAGAAGTCAGGCTGTTCCACATTGGAAAAATACATGAGATATCATCATAATAATCAGGTGCAGGGAGAAGCATCCCAGATCTATGTCCCAAGGTGAACCCAATACCCAAAAAGCTGGACTGAACCACCAGGAATGGCTTGGTTCATAACCTAATGAGGTGTCCTGTACTACACTACCAGGTAAAACCCAAGCGATTCTTCCCAAACAAAGGGGCTATCCAATGAGTCTATATCAATGAAATTGCACCACCCAATGAGAACACTCTGCATCAGCTTCCCCAGCAACTTGAGACTGGGGAAACAAGAGTTATCCTGTACTTCACTAGAAAAAACAGGGGAGAACACTGGAGAGGTGCTTGGATCATTGTTGTTAGACAATCATCTGGAATTAATACATTCCATACTTCTCTGTTTGATTCATATTTTGGGTAAGCATTCCCAATGATGTAACACTAGCCAGTTAGATGGTTCCATCACCTCCAAGATACATGTTTTTTGAGAAAGGTTGTTGTGAGACCTTAAAAAAGTAAAGCAATTAATCTCAGAGCCACTGTGAAGTGAAAAATTGCATGACAAAAGTCATGTTAGATGAAACCTCCCTGTGGTGTAAGCAGTGGGATACCAATATGTTGGAGGTTGTCCACATCCCCACTTGCAAAATCTTGTATAGTGGGATGTCATTCACTAATGAAAACAGAAGCTGCAAGATGAAAAACATAAGGAGAGGAGACAAGAAAAATAAGAAAAGAGTCATAACCAATACAAGAAGAATTGAGCCAGATGGGGGTGTACAAAATAACTAGACAAAGTGGAAAGATACAAGTTACTAAAGGAAGAGAAATCCCACAGAAAAATAAAAAAAGATGTTGGCAAGTGCCTTAAAAAAAAGACCAGTACAAACGAGATAATAATAAGAGAACATACAGAATAAATGAGACAATATGGGTCAAAATGACTGTACAGGGAAGAAGTGGAGTATAAATGGAGAAAACATCCAATCACCATCTTAAGCTATTCAAATTTTGGGTGGTCAGGGAAGAAGGTGAACCTGTCTTTCTGGTAAATAATGGAGGAGGCCAAGACAAATGTGAGTGAAGGCTCTTACAAGAGAGAAAGAAGAAGAAACATGTCCAAAGTATATAAAAGGAGACTGAACTACACAGAGCTGTACAGTCTGGGAATGGATACCAAATGCATGGAAGCCAGGAGTGATGATAGGATGTCCATAGTTGGAGCAAATCTAGTGAAAATAACAGAGAATGGAGAAACCACTCTGTGGGAAGGGTCCAAGCCTAGGTGAGATAGTCACTCCACTACCAGGGCTCTAAGATTTCAAGATATGAAAGATCAACAACTGAAAGTGAGCCACAAAGAGAAAGTCCAGAGCTAAGAAATCAGAGGTCAGGGAAAGGAAGAAACAATGGTGTCTAAATGGATCATGATAAAAAGAACAGAAATGAAACAGAAGATGATGACAAACTTGTGGAGTAGCCACCAACTCAAGAATGTAAAGACAGAGAAACCTCATTCCTGGAGACCAGATGCTAGAAATGGAACAAACTACATTGTGCACAAAGTCAGTAATATCAGTTATCATTGGTATCTCTAGTCACCGTTACAGTATTAGATAACTTGTGTAAAGGAGTATTAACAACCGTGGGAGATGTCAGAAATGTGGGAATGTGGTTGCATAATCCACTTTATTCATATTGTGGTAGCTCTTTTTTTTAAATATGTAGAAAATGGGAATTTCTTTTAGTGAGCCAGGCATGGCAATAGTAAATAGGCCTAATTACAACCTCGAGGAGTACTGGATGAAACCCATATGTTGGATCAAACAATACCAACAGACAATGGGGCATGTATACCAACAGTACCAAGGTTGATTAACAGTAAATCAAATTAAAGATGATTCAAATGAAAGTTTAGATAAGATTAAAATTTAGCATTGCTCTTTCATAAAACAAGAAAATTAAGGAAAGACTACGAAATGATAGTAATGAAAGATTAAAAGAATAAGTACAAAAATTCAGGTAAATCTTAGGAAAAATCAAATTGAAGATAACAGTGAATAGGAAAGGAATAAGCCTATGTTCAAATGCTAGTGCTCATGGCTCAGTATGGGCTCATGTCTGCAAATGGAAGATGTGTTGCTCTCCTAATGATGAAGGGCTATAGTATAATGATGATTGCATAATAAGTTGGCACAATACACAATGACATGTTAAGGATGGGAGCTTTGTTCAAGGTTTTTGGCATACACAGGAATTTACACAGCAGTGCATGAGATTCTAGCTCTTTGTGGTGAAGAGGCGAGTAACATTTTTCAATATTACAATACTCAAGGGCTTTAATTTCCCAATTTTGAGTTAAATTTATTTTAGTCTGCTGTATGACATCTTTTTATATAAAAATTTTTGCAAAATATTCAAATTTATTCAATTTTTGGTTTCCAAATCTGCCTAAAATAGTAGTAGGACAAGTACATTACTGAAGCTCATTTTCTTGCTCAGGTACTTACCCACTATCTCCAAGGATAATCACTTTCAGGAGAACTTTTTTTCTGGATGACATACCTTTCCAAAAGAGGAATTCAAAGATTTTGTATCTCTGGTTTTTAAATACTTGTTGAAATACAAAAATAAATTTGATCATTAAATATATTTCATGAGAACATGCTAGTTATTTGTTACTTAACACTTATGTCCAGAACTACAGTGACTTGTATTATGAAAAATGTGACACATTTATAGGATTACATAATCTATAACACTTTTGTCTCTCCAAGTTTGTAAAAATCACTGAATACTTAAATCCATATCTAAAACATCTAGAAAACAACCAGTGAAAGATGAAAACTTGCAAGTTTACATTATTATTTTTACAGTATAATAATACTATCAAAGAAATAGTGGCTAAGGTAAGCTTAATCTTTCACCTATGTATAATCATTATTATTTATAATGTAATTAATAGCTTTTAAAGTTCAAACTGCTATTAATTTTTTCCAACCATATTTTAACAAAACATTTTCACTTTCAAAACAAATCTGTAACTATCCATTGTAGTTTTACTTAACTTCAACATTTTTATCCGTGTATTCTGTTTCAACACGACATTATTCAGAAGTCCCGTTAAACAAAGGTTTATCTTATTCATTTGTTGTTTGAAGTGTTTCAACTTTCGAGTGTTCAAAGTTTATTGTAATATGGACAGTTTAAGTGGTATATGACGTTGAAATTTTAATCTACTATTCATGTGATTAAGTATGGGCTCAACGTGGTGTTCCCTTACATTGTGATAAAATGTTTTCTTATATGTTCTTTACATTTCATCATTTCACATATCAACCAATGTAAAAAAGTGAGCCATGTCTCTAAAATTCTACTTCTATGATGTAAATTCAATAATCTAAGCAGCCAAATTACAATCTGTTTGGGTCACTACAATTGTGTCTAATACATATTTTGTGTCAATTAATATATGTGTATGCTAACAACACTATCATTGTTTAGATAATTAGTGGTATTAAAATCAGTATTATTTAACACAAAACAATGTCACTGTCAATATTTCCAAAATATGGCATTACATAATGAAAACAAAGTTCTTGGTTAGCTATTTTCATTTGCAAATGAATCAGTTATGCATTTCAAAACAAGTCAATAAAATATTTAAATATATGATGAGATTGGCAAAAATATTCAAACATTTTTCAGATGAGTTACACAACTCACTTTAATGACTTGGAAACTTTTTATCAGAGAGACTATCCTATTGCAGCTGTCATCAAGTTTAAGAGTTGGCATTGATAAATAATAATAAATGATAAAGCTGTTCTGGTTCCACCAATATGTTACCTGCATTCACCCCCAAACATTAATCCCTTGCTTCATCATGCATAAGAAAATATTCCAAGAAATCAAAATATATGTAACCACTGAATGATCATGATTTAAGGAATAAAATAAAAAATAACTGTTGTTCATAAATCACTTCACCTTCCACAAACAAAACATAAAAAAAAATTGAAGGTTTCCAAGACAATAAAAATTATCAAACCAATTAATGCAATATTTGTCTTTGTGGATTTTCTTGACTGAGAACTTGAAAAGCTAAAGATAGACAAGTTAGTGAATTGAAACACAGTGGGTGAATCTACAAACGACATCAGCTGTAAGCCTTATCTATAAATTGGAGATTACAGCAATTGTCACACCTGTTAATCTAGAGTTTAACAAAATTAATTCTAATGTCAACAGATTGCATGCAAGTTTGCTGTTATAAAACTGAATCAATGACCACAAAAACTGTTCAAAATAAAACAACTTAGTAAAATTGTGTGCCAAAAGCAAAAATGTTTAAAACTTTACAAATTACTGCTAAGTAACTTAACCAAATTTATTTTAAGTTCTTTACATTGAATTTTGTAAGAGAGAAAAAATTTAAAATTACTGAATATGTAGACCCGACCAGTAGCAAATGGTAAAATAACAAGATGAATAATTTTATGGTTAGTATGGGAAAAAAGACTATAAACTTCTTTCAGTCATGTGCTATCTTTAGGATGAAGTTAACATACCAGCAACAACTACATGAATAAAGAATAAAAGTAAAGGGTGTATATTACAATATATATTAAAATTATTTGGTATATAATACATAATGGGATTCTTCACCAATAAATACTTTCACAACAATGCTGTTTATTGCTTAGTGGTTTATGCCCGAGTGATTGTTTTTTATTTTGATGATATAAAGTAATGTTATATCATTATCATAATTTGTGGTCTTTTTCAGTGACACAACTGTATTATTATGCATGAATGACTGTATGAATGTCACAACTTCCTTCTTCAAAAATGGTGACTCCCTGAAAGAAGGTGAAAGTCCTGGGAAACTATAGAAGTTTGTAGAAAACAGTTTATTTCATGTATTTATTACTTTTTGGTTTGAAATTTTATCATTACTGATATCTAAAGGCTTTATAAGTTATCAACTACACAAAGAATAAGTCATCATGCTAACCAATTATTGGTTAGCATGGTAATAACTACAGGGAGACATCAAAATGGATTGACAAGTATGTAATTATTTTGTGTGACATTAACTGATGTAATTTATACTAACAAGTTATTGATTATATCAATTAACTGAGTTAATCACACATCTCTCCCAACTTATGGAATGAGTTGACATGGCAGTAGTGAAGGGCAGTTCTTTACATGAGAATAAGAGTGGAATCAGTGAATTCGTAAGTTGAGGACGAGTTTAAATTTTTAACTTTCTCAATGGTGAGAGTGCAAGAATAGCCTTCAAGAACTAAATGGTCTCTTGTTGTTACATTATGTTACAGTAGCAATGTATTTCATTAGTAGAATTGGGTGAATTAACAGCTTAATCACTATAATCGATTACCTATGATAAGTAATCACCATGATTTGTGTTTAGTAAACTGATCAATTAATGTCAGTCACAGAAATGATCGACTAATCAAATCAGTGTTTCTGATTATTACTGCTCTTGATTATTCCAACAACTGATTAATCAAAATTACATCGATTGTCACAAAAATAATCAACTAATCAAAATCAGTGTTTCTGATTATTACTGCTCTTGATTATTCCAACAACTGATTAATCAAAATTACATCGATTGTCACAAAAATAATAACTAATAAAATTAGGGTTTCCGATTATTTACGGTTTGATTATTCCAAATACACAAGTAATGGAAATATTGCCATTAAATATTTGTTGTTAAGAACAAAACTAATAATTTGAGTAGGGGGTTGCCTTATGATCTGAGGATCTCAGGTTTGATTCCTCAGTGTTACTAAACTTGCTTCCCCTCTCTTTGATATTCCAAAGCTACTAAGGCTATCTGCCACTAATAGTAATTTTGAACTGCTGGCTAGAATGAAGGCAAATGGCCGGCAACACACCAACTATCTGGCTACTTAAGCATTAAAGTGTAAATTTACTATTTTTAAAATGTTATTTTTCTAAGTTATAAATAGGTAACTGTATTCTTTAGTGTTGTATAAGCAAGTATAGATCTAGTGGAGAGGTCCAAGGAATCCAGTCCCCCCCCCCCCATCCATTTTTCTGTTCAGAAATTAATAAACATACTTTACAAGAAAGTACAAATCTAGGCAATTCCAAGGGGAGCCAAACCTTCCTCCACCTCTTTTTTTTTTTTTCAGAAGTTAGTAACTATTATTTGACATTGTATAAACAGGCATGGATCTAGGGACAAGTTTCAAGGAGGTCAAACCTCTCCACCTATTTTTTTTAAAGAAATTAATAATTGGTATCTATTGGATTTATGTATGATAAGAATGTTGAAATAGCACTGAGAAACCATTACCCTCGTACAGTTGAACTATGGAAAGCAAGCAGGAAGTCAGTGTGTTTTTAATATGACAACATTATGACAGAGCCTTCTGCATTAGAAACTATACTGCAGGACTATTAAAATGCATAGCCATCAGATAGAGAATGACTGTACAGAGAGGCTTGGATTATAATGATGCTTTGACCTTCTCTACCGAATCACAGGTGAAGTCGTTCGCATCTCAATTGAAAGCTTAACATAAAAAGATGATAGCAGAAGCATAATAGGTTGGCAATTGCTTAACTAATGATGCTAAGAATGTGGCTTTATTAATATATACCAAATTAGTCCCAGTGGGTAAACCTTAGTACTAGCTACTATGGAGACTATCGTTAAAAACTTATCAATTAACAAACAAAAACTTGTCTGTCTCAAAAACATACAGCCAAAGCCACACTCTTTGGGAGTTTCCGGATTTAACTTACTTTTAATATTCAACAAATTGTAGTGTAAAGACACCCCTTGGCTCCTGAGGGATGTGTTAATAAAATGTTCCAAAACAATGTACTGGGCAAAAGGTCTCGTCAGGAGTGATACACAGAAAATTATAGCTGAAGTGGCATCATATACTTCTCTAAACATATATTGGACTAGTAAAAAATAAGATTTAAATTATCAGTCTTCTTGTGATGTTATATCATATACTACATACAGAAGATCAATTTAAAATGCTGAGAATTTTACTTTCTTTTATGAAGTTTTAGTGACTATTCTTCTTTTCTTAAAATGACCTCTGAAACACACTTCTTTCAGTTTGGATTGGCACAGGGATTCTAAAATTATTTCAAAAGTACTAGGTCTATTATTATTATTATTATTAATATAATTAATATTTTTTATTGCTTTAGCTTTGTTGTGTTTTCAACTGTTTACTAGTTCCCGTTTCTACTACCGCTTAGGGTGTGAGGTAGCCAATACTATTTTTATTTCATTATGGTTTTGTTTACCATTCATTTAACATTCCTTCTATCATTTAATTTAACTATGAATTTTGAGTTACATTAAAGTGCTAACTCATCTTCTAGCTGATCATTAATTTTGAGTAAGTTTGTATGTATTATAAGACTAACACCAGTTTCCCCTAGCAATGATGCACAGATATTTTTAATGTTGCAAAAGATTAAGTAAATTTGTGGTCGCGAGATATAATCTCATAGTCTAGCAACTGAATAGAAACTCTGCCATGAGCTTCAACAAGTTAGTTCATGAGATATAAATGAAAAGTATTATTGCAGAATATTACTCAATGTTTTTAGTGCTTTTGTAGTTGTTTAAATACAGAATACTGTTACTTTGGGACTAGTTTTTTCTTTATTCTTCTAGTTCTTTTCCCAATTCCTATATTTAATGAAATAATTATTAACATTGATATTTATGTTGTATTGTTCATTAATGTTAGTATCAATTTTTGGCCAGGAACATTTATTTGCTGTGTTTCAATAAGTTGTTAACTTTGTATTTCAACTGTTTGAAAGTTTCATTTTGGATTTCTGTGGTTATCAAAGTAAAATAAATTCGTTTTTTGTGTTTCAACTCTGGTCATAGCAGCTGTTTGTATTTTAGACCATTTCAAAGTTTGCAAGCTTTCTCTTGACTTTGATTATCCATGATTTACCTATAAACCTTTCTGACTTATTTGTGCTGAGTTTTATTTAACAATTCAGTCCAGGTCTAACTAAATTTTAACCAGGAGTGTAAAAAGTACTAAAATATGTTACACAAGTTCAAGTAAAAGTAGTTTGTCAAAAAGTTACTCAACTACAAGTAAAAGTATCCATCCTGAAATTTACTTAAGTTTGAGTAAAAAAAAAAAGTGTCTACTGAATAAGTACACAAGTAACAGAAGTAAAAAGTACACTCATCTGCAGTTCTCTCAAACCCTACATGTACGTTGCTGGCCATGAGGTCTAGAAACAAAACATTGTATGGAAAAGATTTACCAAACTATGTAAATACCAGTAAATAGCAGTGACGTAACAATTGTCATTCTTTTAGATACTTAAAACACATTTGTTGTATATAATTGATTACTATGGTATTAACAGCTACACTTAGGGTTTCAGCCAACTCATGCAGGCAACTGTGCATGAACTTATTACAACAGTAATGTCAATAATGAATATTGCACAAGTCTTATCGTTTCAGAATAAACTACATAAGAAATTAAACAAACAAGTATATGGATTCTACCAACTATATTATGCACAAAATTTCTTATTCAATTTTAGAAGCAAGTGGTTTTCAAAGTTGGCACAGTCAAGCTTTGCATGCAGAGGACTGAACATCTGACCAGCACAACTGAAGAGATGCTCGCAGGCAGCAGAGGCAGGGAGTGGTGTTTTCAAATGTATGGCTATATCAGGTAGGCTGGGGAAAGACTTTAAAATCTCCATGCTATTAATAAAGTATGCCTATAGGTCCCTCTTCCCAAAGCTATGCTGTGGCTTAAGAGTTCCCACGCAAACCTTGCATTTTGGCTGCTTGCCATAAATTTGAGTTTTGAGAATAGTAACAAAATGTATAAAACGAAAGATAGTGGAGTAAAAGTGCAAGAAATTCTCCTAAAAATTACCTAAGATAGAGTAAAAGCATTTTTAAAATATAAATACTTTTTAAAAAGTAGACACTGAAAAAAGTTACTCAAGTAGTTACTTTGTTACCTTCATACCCCTGAATTTTTAGTATTTTATTTTTAGTACTAATCACCTGTAAGCCGTGCACAGATGGAAATCCTATCCTTTCTAACTGACTATTAGTGTTATCACTTGTTTTTTCACTGCTTTAGCATCATATGACAATGTTGTTTCAGTTTCAATGAACCATGATATACATGTACTCAACTTCCACTAGTACTAGAACTAGTACAACAGAAAATGAATTTGAAGTCTCATTTCCAAAATTTTATGCTTGGGCTTTCAATGAATCATGCCTATTATGGAAGTAGATGTCATTGTTGTTGATGTAAATATAACGATACATGATGCGAGTTAATACACGACATTAGCCTGATTATGCTTATACTAATTTATTATTATACTATAGACTGTAGTATAGTGTATCAGTATCATAGACATTTTTGAAACTCAGTAGTTATAGTAATACTAATGGTGATATATTATAATTTATATACTACATAGTATGTGTAAAAACAATACAAAAAACGCAGAAAATATAAATCACATTAAAGATCGCAGAATAATCTTACTTTATTTCCTTATTTTTGTAAATACTTACCTAATAATTAACCTTATTATTTCAACAACTGCAAACCTCGTGTCCTTTTAGTTTACTGTTTTACTTTTAGTTAAATCCAATTATTTTAGTTGATGACAAACTGGGAAATATATAGTCACAAGATGTATGACGTCTCTCTGTAGTAACTTCACGCCAGAGATCGCTATTTAGCAATCTTGCATTGGTAATAAAACTGTGATAACACAAATGTAATAATTTATGTTTATTTCCATTTTCTTAGTTTTGTATATCAACATTAATAAAACGTTCAAGATATGTTGTACTTAACAGAAATGTGATTTTTGTGTGCAATTACAAAACTAATTGTATAACAATGTGCACATGAATCAAAGTTATAATTACAACAGATGATAAGAAAGGTTCACGAACTTTATAAATTCAAAGAGATGATCAAAAATGAACTTATTAAAGTAACTGAATATAATGTTCCATCTCCAAATAACACAGAAACCATTAGTTATAAAAATCTTTATCACAATACGTTACAAGGCTTAGATTTCGAGGAATGTATAATGAAACTAGTTTATTCAATCGGTAGTTGTTTAGTCATGTGACTTGGGAGGATCAGGTATACCTGGACCTCAACTTCCCTCGTTAACTATTAATTTGGTTCTTGAGTGTTGGATGAACCCCACACTAATTCTTCAGTATAATACAGTCTGGTAGCTAGGAAAACCCGTATTACTGCATGCGTCATTCGCACGCTCGAGTGACCCTTTTCAGGCCATGTTCATGAATGTATAATGTCGAGTTTTCTTATATAAAATTGTATCTTTTGTTTGTTGTTGTTGTTGTTCATTGTCAACATAAAATTTTGTTCCTATAAACAGTTCCCTAAATATCATTTCAAAACATATAACACTAATCTTATCTTCATATAAATAAACTTTTTTAAAATAAAATTAACACTTATATCTAGCTACCAGTTTGCCCAGTAGTAAGTAGTAGATGGTAATATATTGCATAAGAAGTTTACTAGATTTAGTGGAGAGAGATACTTAGATTTATTATCATCATATACGATAACGTTTTTTAGTGTTCGTAATGATTCATTTTTGTTAAGGTTTTTGCGAAAGTAATATATTAATCTATTTTGAAGTCTGTCTGACAACATGGGGATGGTTGAGTAATTATGTAAGAATGTTGTGTTTGTGTATTTAGGAATTCTGTATCCTTTAGTGATTATCAAATTTTGTATTGTTTATAGCTTGTTTATGTGTACTTTGGTTACTGAGCGTATGTAGGTATGTTTCAGTTGTAGCGCCCCTGTTGTTGCAATCAGACGTCTTAAGTAATTTGCTCTTTGCCATATTTTCTTTCTAATTTCATTCATATGTTTAGTCCAATTGAGTTTAGAATCGTAGGTTAGACCCAGGAATTTGGCTGATGTGGCTGCCTGGAGAAGAGTTCCGTAAGTGTATAATTTTGGGGGCTGTTTGCCTTTCTTTTTTGATTTTGTGAATGATATGATTTGTGTTTTAAGGGCGTTTATCTTGATTCTACATTTGTTACAGTAGTTTTACATTTCATTTAACCGTGGTTGTAAATTTGTCACTGCTATAGATAAAGTGAAGGAGCTCGTCTGGATAGCCACATCATCAGCAAACTGGGAGAAGAAGTAGAAATTTGGATCATACAGTCAGTGGCATTTCTCACATATGATGAATATAACAAGGCTATAACACCCCTCCTTGCAGGACACTTGCCTTCGGAGTAAAATACTAAGAGAAGGTGTTAAACACATAAATTTTAACTTTCCTGTTGTCTAGAGTCAAGCGCGTGAATCGTTCGTTGTGAATTATAGCGTGTGTTTAAGTTAAAGTGACTGTGGAAATTAAGTGTATTGCCGAGTTGAATTGAGAAAGAATAAACTAGTTTTATTTAAGAAGAGACTTGTATCGCTGAAGTTTCTCGGAAAGAATTTCTACAAAAAATTAACAAACGACCAGAGACGTAACAGTTGGTACATAGTACGTCAGATGTTGTTGGTAGATGCTTGAATTATTGTCCGACGAGTGTCGTTTATGTTAATTTATATAATCATCTAAGTGGTATATGTTACTCTCAAATACGTAAATTGGCATTTATATTGAAATGGTATGCAAGCATACCATGCCTTTTCTAACTTCATATTTCAATGTACAATTTTTCAATAATTTTTGTTTATTCTAGGTACGTGCGATATTCACACAACACGTGTGTTAAACTACATTTTAATGGTGTCATTTGTTTGTTAGCTAGAAAACGCATGGCGTTAAGATAGATTATAAATAGGAATCAGTTGTTTTTAATTAAGATAGACACTGAACAGTCTGTGTGTTTTTAGTGAAGTATTTAGATCTGGGTTAGCTATCGCTCTTATCGACAATTTGGATAACCTTGTACAAGTAACTTATTTTATGTGATTTCTAGTATTGCTAGAGAGGTTTGAATTTATTTGTAACATAGGCCTACAACAACTTACGACAGCGTACAAGTATTTAAACTTGTAAAAAATGTTAAAGAAGGAAATAAACTAATTATTCATAGTTTACGTTGACTGGACTTTGAATTATTTCCACTGATAAATTTAAAAGCAACCGCAATAGAAGAATAACTTTATAATATGTGGTCTAGAAAGTTGTTAAGTTGATTTTGTTCTAGCTATCTTTGTTCTTTGTCCCCCTTTTGAAATAACAGTTGGGTTGCCTGTGAGAAGTGTCACTTTAAAGCTGCATCTTATGTATGAAGGTCGACAGCAGTGTCCTCCAATGGTAAATCAGGTGATATCTTGAAGTCACAACCTCGCTTATTTTTGAATGGGAATGACAAATCACGTGCGTAGTGCTAGTTGCTCTGTATGAGTTTGACCTTACCAATTCAACTAATTAACGTAAGATTTAGTCACTCTGAAACAGCATATTTAGAGAACCAGTCAGTTTGGAAACAAATCTTGAGGGAGTAGAGCCACCTTAATCAATTCAAAACTCCAGTAAAGACGACTGTCTGCCATCCATAAAATGAGGTACACACGCTGCTGATTTGTATTGTATTAAATATAGATTGTTTTCATTGTGCACCACACTTTGTACCTAATCCATTTATTTCTTAGTAGAGATTCAGTATTCTTTTGTAATATATCTTGCCGAACCTCCCGGTATATATGCACCTACCTAATTTACTCTTTTGTAAAATCCATTTAACTAAAAATACCATATTGAAGTATAACAACTAGTGTTTGTAACATCGGGACTCGGTCTTTAACATTAAACAGATTCTTCAATTTCAGTTGAGATTTAAATACTGTTCAAAACTTAACTTAAGGATAACACATCTTTAAAATTTCCCTCAGCCTTTTGCTGTTTTCAAAACTTAACATTTCAATATATAGCAAAATATTAGTTATCGATGTCTTGGACTCATCAATTTTCTTTGTCACAGAAAGTTCATGTGGTTTAAAAACTATTAACTACTTTGTCTATTAATCTAGTAAGATATGCATTTAGCTTGAGAACTTTTTTTGATTCTCTGTAATTCATGATGGAATAATTCATAATTGAGGTAAAGAAGAATGTCAGTGACAGAATAAAATATCTGGAAGATGAATTATTAAATGTGAAAATTAAATCAGCCACACCTCTTTCTGCATCAGCTCAAGAGTTCCAACCTGGAATGCCATCTGCTACAAAATATGGGAATAGTATAATTTATTTGGTCACCACCTGTTATTGAAGGTCCTTTCTGAACTACCCTAGCCATGACACTACCAAATCCAGTTCCAGAATTTAGCTGATCAATTCACATCAGCCAGGTGAGAAACCCTAGGAAGGTACCATGGGAGTCATACAAGAATTAATTCGAAATCATTTCCAGAGTGAACGGGTGGAATAATGATGAACAAGTTATCCATCTTGCTGCCCATATAAAAGGGTCAGCTCTTTGAATCTAATAATTAACCTTCCAGCTGAAACAACTATCAAGCGTTGGTAGATGCTTTGTGCAACAGGTTTGGAGTGTTACACACGAAAGAAGTTTCCAGAATAAAGTTCATAATAGGGTGCTGAGACCTTAGCTGAAAGTGTAGACGAATTGAAAAGGGTTGCACAATTATCTCACCTGGAAACAGATGAGGATATGAGAATTATGCTGAATCAAAGTATATGTACATTCTTTAAGGAAGCTTTACGGTTGGCAATTGGGCTATAATCCATTAAGGTCGCAGATAAACTACTGAAGGAACCATCTAGAAGTTATAGGAATATAAAATATTGTAGTACTGAAACATCAACTCTCCTTAACATAAGTGTAGAACAGGGGTCACCAAACTACGGCCCGTGGGCCAGATCCGGCTTGCGAGGTCAGTTCGGGCCACCGCTGCACTGTGCTACAAATGAGCTAAAATATAAGCTATCGAAGTGTAAGTAAAAATGTCCAAATTTGCCCAATCTGATTTTTGCATCTAACAGTAATATAAGTTTTAGGAAAATCAGTGAAATAAAAAATTCGGCGACTTTTTGCGACTTTGGATATGGGAGCGCTTTTTGTGTAAGTACCTGCAATGAGAGTTCATTCCTGCAGTCACCTCTGCGTGCATTGTTGTAAGACGATACAATGATTACAGGCAGTTGATACAAGTAGTGTGATGAGTGTGCGCATGGTTACACAACTTTGTGATAGAGAAGACATGTGCACGTATTGTGTGTGCTTCTACATATATTTGTGTGTTGTACATATGTGTTTATATATTTATATTTAAATCTCGAACACTGGTTCAATACACGGATTAAACCCGAACAGGCAACTTTTTGCGACTTTGGATATCAGAGCGCTTTTTGTTTAAGTACCTGCAATGTAGTTTCCAAGAAAAGCGATTACGAGCCTGCTGCAGCGATCGTGTTTTATCT